AGTCTAATTTGACAAATGGCTAGTTTTATTATCTGCAGTTAAAGTTGAACTGTCAGATGTAATTAAGACAAGTAGCAATGTCTTGGGGTGTAGGGTAATAAAATTAGTTATGCCTATTTGTTTGTCTAGAGATGCAGTAATTAAACTCTATGATAAAGGTCAGTTGGTCAGAGACTGGCAGATTGTGTATCAGCTGTGATACTAGAAGGATGTGATTTTCCTTGAAGTCTTGAATCAGTAGATTCTGGGGGACTTGTATTTAAAGTTTATATGTTTTAACTTTGTAGCTAACTTTGTCAATAAGTCGGAAGTAATGTACATTTGTTAATAAACTTGTAAATATATATCGCATTATTTAGTTACTGGAAATGACCACAGGATACATTGTCGTGCCATAGTATGGTTATGTCCGTCCGTCTGTGTCGTTGTCGTTCCTCCCCTCGGTCACGTTAAAGTTTTCCCTATACTCTGCTGATCTACGATGGCTCACGTGGAATAAAATCAGACAAGGAGAGGAATTGGATAATTTGAGTTACAAATTTTTCAGTTATTTTACTTCATAATTTTTTTTTAGATAAAACAGTTACAAAAAGGTTTATAGACTTTAAAAGACGATTTTAAAACATTTATTTTTATTTTGCGAGCCTAGCCATCGGGGCAAATAAAATTCTTCATCTCTTGTCGTTTGTCTGAAATTACTGGGCAAATTGCAACCAAAACATATCATTCTTTTTTTCTCCTGTTTTTTTTTTCTTTTCTCTTCTCTCTATCTTGAAGATTAAATGAAAATGAATTATATCAAAGAATGATTTTATGATAATTTATGTATTGGTCTTAAGCTGTTGCAATTACCTAATTGCTACAGCTTTCACAAACAAGGTACCCTGGTATATTAATATCTGTACGTTTAAAGTTCTTTCTTTCTTTTATGATATTTTTGATATTAGGCAAAAAGGCAAAAAAAAAAAAAAAAAACGTCTTTAAGGGGCATAACTCCAATAAAAAAATCAGCTGACGATTTCAACCAAGTCAATATTTTGTAGACCTGGTGTTGTTGACCATTTTTCCTATATAAAATGTTTCTCTTTATCTATTATTGTTTTCGAGATAATTGGGTAAAACAAAAAACAAAATGTAAAAATTCATCGTTTAAGGGCAGACACTCCCGTAAGAAGTTGTCAAACAGTTTTGATGTAAATAGACCAATATTATTTAGGAAGATCCCATCACTTGGAATATTAAAGCTCTTGTCAGATTTTTCTCTATTTATAACAATTTTGATGATAATAGACAATCATAACTTGCATTTTACCCCCATATTCAATTTCAGCCATGTTAGCCAAAATGGGACACATTTTTTAAAGTGCATACTCTAATGATGATTATCGCCAAGTCTGGTTTAAGAAGAAGTCCGGTTAGGGCTAATTTTGGCTAAAATGTTTTACATTTTTAAACACTTAAAGGTGAACTTCATTTGACTCAATCAGTTTGTGTTAAAGATTTGAATTGGTTAGGTCATTACAAATGCTCAAATTCAAGTTTAAATATGAAAAATCTATCAAATATGCAATCAAACGTCACTGTTAAGATGGTTTTTGACTAAAACGGATGTGGCCGAAATGTTCAGTCTCAAAATGTATATATGTAATGCGTTTTCAGTAAATACAATATTTGTTATGCCCCATTTATGTGCATTATGTTTTCTGGTCTGTGCGTCTGTTCGTCCGTCCAAAGTTTTTGGTTAAAGTTTTTGGTCAAGGTAGTTTTTGATGAAGTTGATGTCCTTGAAACTTAGTACACTTATCCTTATGATATGATCTTTCTAATTCAAATGCCAAATTAGAGTTTTAACCACAATATCACGGTCCACTGAACATAGAAAGTGAAAGTGCGATTGGGGCATCCAAGTACTATGAACACATTCTTGTTTAATATTAAGACTGAACACTAGTGCCGTCACTTCCATTGAAGGCATCTAGAAACTCTAAAGAGCCTGTGTCGCTCACCTTGGTCTATGTTTATATCAAACAAAGGACACTCTTTAACATTGAATTTGTAGACAAGAATAGACTTCATGACAAAAATCTGTATTTTGTTGATCTTGTATTTCTAATCTTTAAGTCTGTTTGGTTTCTATCTATCTTCTTTAGTTTTTGCTCAAAACACAAACGAAGATTAGAGTAATCTTTATTTAAGGGCAATCACTCCTATCAGTTTTAGAGATATAAGCCAAAATCTGCATTTAAGCCCAATTTTCTTATTTTTTTAGCCATGTCGGCCATGTTGGATAATAGGCTGGGTTATCAGACACATTTTTTTTAAACTAAGAAGATACCCAAATGATTGTTGCCAAGTTTGCTTGAATTTGTCTTAGTACTTTCAGAGGTGAAGATTTTGTAAAAGATGACAAAAACTTACATAAAAATTGTTTAAAATTGACTTTAAAGGGCAATAACTGAATTTTGTTCATATTGGCTTATTTGTAGTTCTTTCTTGGCTGTTCATTATTGCTGTTTACAGTTTATCTCTATCTATGATAAAATTGCAGATCAAAAACAAAAAACTGCAAAATTTTCTTAAAAATACCAATTCAGTGTCAGCAAGCTTTAGCCAACAACGGGTTTTCTGATTTGTCTGATAATTTCAGGGCAGATAGACCCTATCCTGATGAACTTTTTATTCCAATGTCAGATTTTCTTTAAATGCTTTATTTCCAGAGATATAAGCCAAAATCTGCATTTACCCCCGATGTTCAATTTTAGCCATTTCCGGGTCATCGAACACAAGATACCCTAATGACGATTGTGGCTCAGTTTGGTTAAATTTGTCTCTGTAGTTTCAGAAGAGAAGATTTGCAAAAGTTAACGACGGACGACAACGGACGACAAGTGATGAAAAGGCTTACTTGGCCCTATGGTAATGAAGATCAACAATATTGCACAAGACATGCTGAAAAGGAATTTTCTGTACATTCAGATGCACATCAGCCACATACGATTTGATATACGAAAAAGAAGTGTACACAATGAAAAATAATTTTTCAATGAAAAATAATTTTTCAATGAAAAAATTATAAAATGAGTTATCCATCCTTATTACCAGTGAAAATGATTATTCTGTCTGTACAAAACCTCATGTCCGAAAGCCTAACCCCAACCAAAGAAATAATCTTGTTATCCTCTTAGCAGTTATGTTCTTTTTCTCTTGTTCTTGTAGATTCAATGACCTGTCTAAAAAATAAACTATGGTGTCTTGTGGAGAGTTGTCTCATTGACAATCGTACGACATCTTTCTTTTTTGTATTTGAATGTGTAATCAGTCTCTCAAAATTAAATTTGCCATGTAATTTACTATTCTGGTGTAAACATAAAGGCAACAGTAGTATACCGCTGTTCGAAAACTCATAAATCGATAGAGATAAAAACAAATCCGGGTTACAAACTAAAACTGAGGGAAACGCATCAAATATAACAGGAGAACAACGACACAACAAAGACACAACATTAAAATGTAACACACACAGAAACGAACTATAATATAACAATGGCCATTTTCCTGACTTGGTACAGGACATTTTAAGAAAAAAATACATGTGTTCTTAAAAAAAACTGCATGTTAATATAATTTTTTTTCTGAATTTTGTACCAATGAAACCGAAAATATATTGTTGCTCGGCAGTCTTCCTATATAAATAAATAAATGGTTGCTAGGCACTTGTTCAATATAGATAGATGGTTGCTAGGCATTTTTCTAATATAAAGAAATGGTTGCTAGGCACTTTCCCACTTTAAATGAATGATTGTTTAAAACTTATGTGATGACAACTCCCCTAGCCGTTTTAGGTAAGGTCTATGTACTGGTTTATATAGTCTTGAATCAAATCATGTATGGTTACTAGGTACTTTTTATCAAATAAGGGTGGTTGCTAAGCACTTTTGACATGACCTTGACTTTTTATTGTTTATATGTTAAAATAATAATGGCTATAAACGTCCTGAACATTTTCCACATGTAAGGTATGCTACTTTCTTTTATATTTCCTTTTAAATTCAATTTATATACACAAGGTCAAAGGCCAAGGTCATCAACGACCTTTGACCTTTGGTCAAATTCATGGTAAGTTAATTGCCAATAGATTGCACATCATATGCATTCAATAGTTTTTACTTTTTGTGGATTATTTTAATAACATGGTCAAATTTCAGAAGTAAAAAGGCAAAAAAGATAGATTTTTGTTTCCATAGCAACCATCCTAGAACCCAATATCCCAAACATTTTGTTATAATTTTTTACTTTAAACATTGATACTTTTAATTTATAACCACAGCTTAAATGGAGGTGGATGCAAAAATGTATATTTTGTTCATGCAAAATGTGTATAATTTGTCTACTCAGATACTATGAAAAATGACCTCTGCTCATGTGGTTGTGACAATTTTCAGCAAAAATATTTTTTATATATGACATTGCTGTTTTGTATGTTAAATTTCATGTATCTGAAAAATATTTACAAATATCACCAAATAAAACCTGGTTCTGATTTTGAATAACTTCAAAGTAATTGTTTTGTCGATGCTAAATTCCTAAAAATATACGGGAAAACTCATTTACTTAGTTACAATGGCAACCGTTGCCTAGCAACAATTTGGTCGGCATTCTACTTACTTTTTTACATGATTACATGTTTTGGCTAAGTTTCATGAAAATCGGTGACTATGCGTGCCGACCTCCCTATATAAAATGGTTGGTGGTTACAGAGAATTGCTCTTAATCATATTTACTTTTCGTCTGTTGTTTTGTACAAAAATCAGGCCGTACGTTATCACGTTTGAATTGTTTTTATATTTGTCATTTACGTTTATAGCTGCTTTGCGGGATGAATATTATTCATTCTTGACGGCCGTACGTTGACCTATAGTTGTTAAATTCTATGTCATTTCGTATCTGTTGGAGAGTTGTCTAATTTGGCAATCACACAACATTTTCTTAATTTCATAAAGATGATGATGAAGATGACGTTAGAATGTGTTTAAGATCTGCAGATGGTAGAGAGCTTTCAACGAGTTCAGATTGTAGAGGCTATCTTGCTGCCATGCCAATACCTGTTGATGACGATGAAACATTTGTAAAGAATATAGATGATAATAACGATGACAATGACCTGTCAACAGCTGATCGTTATGCACCCGAAAAAAGAACCCTAATGGTTGCACAACACCCTCAAGGTATAGTGATTTTTTTTAGAATATACAGCTATTGTATATGCACTGTTGTGTTTTGTGTAATTGTGTGATGTATATTCTAAGAACTAGCTATGCACAATGCGTCTCATTTGTTTTTATAGATAAAAATCATTTTACTGGGCATTAAGCAAATACAACTCAATTTATTAGTCATCATGTCAGTTAATAATTTGTAATTTTTTTGACGATTTCTCAAAAGTATTGACAGCAACATGTACAATCAATAATGCAAACATTAATTACACACATCATAAAATACAAACAATATCGGACAGTACAACTGGCAATACCAACTGTCTTAATAGAACACAGATGTAAAACAATATAGTCTAGCTTCCGGCAGGATGACCACCCATTTGAACTAGGGAATAACATACCTAACCTTATTAATATATAAATATGACAGTTGTTTCCCATTCGTGTGATATGTTCGAACATTTGATTTTACCATTCGATAAGGTACTTTCCGTTTTGAATTTTCCTTTGAATTCGGTATGTTTGTTCCTACAGGAGGTTGTTCATGACAGCTACACCTTTTGTTCAATATTGCCGCTCAGGACAACTTTACATTCAGGCATTATGGGTTCTTTCCTTATTTAAAAACAAAATCAAATACAGTTCATCGGAAATCTTAAATAAACATAGCAAACCAAGATTGTAGCAACAAACAAAAGTCGAAGTCTCAAATCGGATCTTATCATACAAAAAAAATTAACATGTCCCACTTCAAGTAGTGCTTATGAAGAAATGCCCTGTAATCCTAATCAGTGCTGACATGTCGTAATGAAATTATCAGTTACAACAAGTCATTTTGCTTTTTAGAGGAAAACACAGACATCCGATCAATCGAACATAACCCAAAAGTGTGGATAGACGCTGATGTTCATGGTAAGTGTTTTGTTGCCATGATGCTTACTTTTGTGATATTCATTTAGAACTTTTTACTCACTTTTCTTGAAGCGGCCAGTTGCAATACGATAATGGTTACTTGGGATAAGTATTAATTCAATTTTGAATAAGGTCGAAAAATGGTTTCATGACATGGTCAAATAAATGAATTTATATCAAATCATTTTACATTGGAAATGATTTAAGAGTTATGGGTTAGTCCAAATGAGATGCCAATCAAATGTAAAGAAATTTTGAACACATGTCATGATAGCCAAACGAAAAACAAGTATATTTTAAAATTGAATTGAATCACATCCTATCACTAGATAACCAATATTTCAGTCAATACTTGCATCTTATGTATCCCAGTGATCTTGAAATTAAAGATACAACTGATACTAGAAGGACTGCTTCATACCTTGATATTTTCCTCAATATTGACACATGTTGTCTAAACTAACTAACGACATTTTAACCACGTCATAGATTGTTGTTTACCATCTACGCCACCAGGTCTGCTCAGTTCCAAGCGTGACCTGTTCTTGAATGTGACTGTTTTGTCGAGTGTGGGTCCAGATTGCTATACGCCGTGTCTCGGTATTTGTATATCCAGCATTCAACTATTTAGTTATGATGTTTCTTTTGTGGGTCTTGTTTGTTTTTTTTGTTGTTATGTCTTGTGTTTGCAGTTGGAGATGACGTATTTCCTGCTCTCGGGCAGTTTGTTGTTGATTTTTTGCGTGTCTGTCCGGTGGGTCGTTTTGTGCTGAGTTGTAGTATGTTTGTTTAGTTTGTGGTTTGGGTTCTGTTTTTTTGCGGTACATTCCGCGTGTGTCTTGTTTGTAAGTTGTTCGCTGTAGTCTAAAGGGTTTTTGTTTTGTGTTGTTTGTTTGGGATAGGAGCTTCATTTGTATGATTTTGGTTATAAACTGGCACAGTTTTTTTGGTTTGTATACGATTTGGGTTTGAAAAAGGGGCCGACATGGTTGAAGAGTGCAAATGGTTACACCATTGCAGACACAATTCCATTTTGATATGCTTGTCATGGTAAGAAAACACATAAAACAACACCATCACAAATTCATTGAAACGAATCTATTTTGTTTTTGGAGATTTGCCTGTGATTATCTGGACGTCACAAACCGTGCGTCACCTTTTGTGACGTTGATACATTCATATGAGACACAGTTTATATTTCGTTTGTGGTAACCAGGTGTGCTGTCGTAAATTCATGGTAGGTGTCAATTGTTTTTATGCGCTTTACATATTATAAAATACTATCATATTATTTATTTATGTATTTCTTTGTGCTGAGTGTTCTTGTGTTTGTTTGTACAGTATCCCTGTCACGTAGTGTAGTCATTTTAGCGGTATTTTTAACATTGCCATACAAGCGGAAAGTTGGGCTTGCCACAAAGACAGGTTCAACCCACCATTTTTTTTTCTTAAAAAAACCTGTCCCAAGTTACAAATATGCCAGTTGTTATCTACAATAGAAAAACAAACGATATAGAGTATCCATCCATGACACAAAATCAGTTCATGCACAAACAAACAAAAAAGACACAAAAAGCAAAGGAACAGCACTTTTATTGCTGTTCTTCATTTCAAAGTCACAGTGAGGCCTTCAACATGGAGCAAAAAAAAAAAAAAAACTCTCACCTTACTGCAAGTTTAAGACGGCCCCTAGTACCGGCTTGAGCGGAATTCCTTGCAAAAATTATTTTGATAGACTTTGTAAGATGTATCATCAACCTATTGGGCCCGTTTAGAAAAGAACATACAGGAAAGTAGTACATATCTAAAAACAAAATAGTTCCTACGTATAAAGGTAAATCATAAACTATGTAGCATATATTTAAGTAATTTAGGTATCAGATGAAAGGTGAAGTACTGGTGATCCTTGTAGAACACACCATTTATTGATAATTTTGAATAATATCAAAATGAATGAATGAATTCTAAAATTGAGGGGACATAAAGCCTGTTTCTCAGTTATAAAGTTTCTGGTTTGTGTATCTAAAAATCCGGTAATCAGTAGTACGGTCTGATGTATAAATACAGGTAAATTGATCGCGCTTTTATAAAATATTTTGAAGTGAAAAATTTAACGTGGATAGGAATGAGGACCAAGATTAGGTGGTGTGCGTCTTATTAAAATTTTAGTTTACATACTGGCCTCAACTTGAGAGAATGATATTTAGTCCAGTGTTGGCGATGTCCACTTGACGTGGCTCGGTACTTGTATATCCCGTCATTGTGTTATTATGCTATGGTAAATTTTTGTATTCTTGACTTTCATTTTTGCTTATGTGCTTTGTCTATATGCCCTTTTGTATTTCTTTGTTGCCTATTTGTTTGTTTTTATATTGATTAAAATTATAACACAATGTTGACTGTTGTACCCTATTTAGACATGTTTACCTATCATGTCTGTTTGTTTTGTTCACACATTGTGTCAATATAATCGAACTTTAAGCGACTGTCATACAAGTGAGAGGTTTAGCTAGCAAAAAAACCAGGTTGAATCCACCATTTTCTATATAAGAAAATGTCTGTACCAAGTCAGGAATATGACAGTTGTTATCCATTCGTTTGATGTGTTTGAGCTTTTGATTTTGCCATTTGATTAGGAATTTTCAGTTTTGAATTTTCCATTTCGGTATTGTTTTTATTATTTTACACATAAGAGAGGTTATATCAAGAATAAATACACCTTAACTTTAACAATACAGAAGAACATACATCAATGAACATATCAAGCACGGGGATACTTTCTACGGCATCAACACAGCACGAGAAACAAACTCCTTTGATATAATACAGTATGTTTCTATGTATAATGGCGTTTGCTTTTGTTGTAGTTCAGTGTTTCTGTTGGTTACTCTGTTTTATTCTTATACTTGATGTGGTTCCCTCGGTTTTAGTTCATTACCCGGATTAGTTGTTGCTTAATCGAATTATGACTTTTGACCTGTTTAATTTTTTTACCCAGAATCGAATATAATTAAAATATTCTGATTTCAGGGCTGAAATAAACATGACATTGCGTATACATAGTGACCTTCTAAAATGTGAGATTATTCAAAGAAAATTTAAACTATACTAAAATAGAACATTCTACAAAAATGAAATTGTATCTAAGGTTATATCGCAGTGTGGTCCGTATAATGTTAATATCATAGTTTCCAGTGTACTCCAGGTCGTGTGAGACCTCTTGGTATATATTTTTTCAAACTTCGTTGGTGAAATTTAGTCTCCTGGACATTTATCCCATATCTCTTCTTTTTGTCCCGTCAGTATCCCGTTGTTGCCGGGGATAAATAAATACTGTTCGTCCTTATGTCTGTCCGAACATATGACCAGTTTGAAAACGCTCTATCGTATTTAATCGTTTTCGAATTTGAATAAAATTTATGCTTGAGCTTTCAACATACAAGGTTGGAAATGAGCCCTGTTAACACATTTATGGGGAAATTAAAAATCTGTTGGTTATTCATATTGCAACACTTTTTGTCTTGCCTGTGACGAAAGACGCAAAATGAAAGACAGTAATGAAAATACGACGACGGCGGCGTACACTTTTTGTATAAAGCGTTATATATTTTAGAAGGAAGAAGACCTGCACGCTTCATACCTTGTATACAATTACCTTATTGTACGAAGTTTCCTTCTGTCATATGTCCGTTGTCTTTGACCTAATTTGCATGGTTCAGTGATTGATTAATGAGAAATAAGATAAAACAATATTTGGTTTACCGGTTACTTGCACCGTCTACATGTCCGTCAGGTAGGGTTCACCTGACCTCGAACTCAATTCAGTAATTAAAATTGAAGCTACGTGGTCCGTATCCATTGTATGGTGAAAATGTCCGCCTGGTAGGTTTCACCTGTCTTGACCTCTTTTTCATGGTTCATTTGCCAATGTTCAGTTTGTGATTTAGTTAAGTTGTTTTTTTTTTTTTTTTTTTTTTTTTTTATTATTTTTATGATGTAAGCAACTATATTTAGTGTATGGATTACAAAGTGTATTCTTTTTGTCAGGGTTTGTAAGACCTTATCGTCAATTGCATGTTGTTTTAGTCAATGTTTAGATTTTGTGTACATGTAAACCAGCTTGTTAGCTTTCCTAAATAATGAAATAAAATCGTGAAGATTCAATAAATGAAGGCTGGTTTTGAAAAGGCCAAAAAAAGTTCTGAAAGTTTTCCAAAAATTGTAAGAATATTTGCATGCTTAATTTTAGCAAGAAGACAAAAAAAAAAAAAACTCGTTATAAGGCATTTGTATCCCGAAGAAAGAAACTGTCCCTGATATCTGTCTTCGTAACTTCACTTTTACAAATCACTACTTCTCTGAAACAATTGAACCAAATTGACCTCGTTTTACAATCAACATGGCCGAAACGGCAACGAATAAAACAAAGGAGGTAAAATGCAAGTTTTGTCTTTAATCTTGAAAACTGCGTTAATAATTACATATAAAAAACGTCTGACAGGGGCAGAACTTTCAAATCATTGAGATCGCCCTACGGTCTATTAATTTTAAAACTGTCAAACGACGATGGCCTTTTTTTACCATATTTTCTTTAATTATTGCCAATTATTTTGAAAATTGCAAAATAATGATAGACACTTCGTAAGCAAACATGATCAACAAATTGGTCAAAATAGAGGATATCGATATCGTTATTTGTTTCATATGGGTCTCAATTCTGTAAAAATAGACAATGCAATTTCCAACTAGAAATCCCTTTGCGGCTAAAACTGTGCCACTTTTTCTATGAAGTTTCGAAGAAAATTATATCATATAACGGAAATGCACATCTATTTTATTCAAATTATAGGGCTGTGCGGCATATGTTCAACAATTTAACATGTTAAAAGCCCTGAACTTCTACGAGTTTAAACTAAAATAATTTACTACCTCTACCTTTCCTTTGATTTTTCCTCAAAATTAAATGTTCGCCTCTACCATGTGTTTCAATACTAGTATCATGCCCAAGTTATGTCTCTATGAGATGAAACACAGAGATAATATCTGGGAACCAGTACGTAGACAAACAAAATATCTATGAATATTATAAATTTCCCCAAAAGAGGCGTGGCTTGTGAAACAGCTGTATTTACATAGTGCAACCTATATGAATATATGAATTATTGCCCCTATTTGATGTTTTTTATCTCTTTTTATGTTTTTTTTTTTGTGGGGGGGGGGGGGGGGGGGGGGTTGGGGTTGGGGGGCGGCAAAAACTATAAAAGATAGAGAAATTACCGGCAATACAAGTTCATCAAAATAGAGATTTAAACCATTAATTTAAATTTGATTTTATTCTACCATATACAAAAGTGTTTACTGTTGAGGATACACATAGACGCAGAGGAGCTATGCGGACTCTTTATAGCCTGTAGTTGTATAAAGGCGGAATATTGAAAAATATTACTGTTAGTTTGGTACCATTTGGTCAAAATAAGCACTCACACATTTCAAATGTTTTATTGGCTTGCCCGTCAATAATTTCACTCATTTGAATCCATATTCATGCAACCTTCAATTCGACACCTTGTTATAAGGAAGAAAAGCATGTCTACACTGAATAGTAAAACGAGCTCGGTAGCCACTAGGAATATAGTATTTCGTTCTACAAACAAAAAATCATTCATAAAAAGGTAAAGAGATTTATTTACTCTTTAACCAGAAATCAAAAAATAAGTGAAAAATCTTTATGACATAATTGCACATGCACATCTATCTGTTTATATTTATGTTTATATCAAGTGATAATATGTGCGTATTGTTATGCGTTTACTTTTCTACATTGGCTAGAGGTATAGGGGGAGGGTTGAGATCTCATAAACATGTTTAACCCCGCCGCATTTTTGCGCCTGTCCCAAGTCAGGAGCCTCTAGCCTTTGTTAGTCTTGTATTATTTTTAATTTTAGTTTCTTGTGTACAATTTGGAGTTTAGTATGGCGTTCATTATCACTGAACTAGTATATATATTTGTTTAGGGTCCAGCTGAAGGACGCCTCCGGGTGCGGGAATTTCTCGCTGCATTGAAGACCTGTTGGTGACCTTCTGCTGTTGTCTGTTCTATGGTCGGGTTGTTGTCTCTTTGACACATTCCCCATTTCCATTCTCAATTTTATAAGACTGTCGTCAGTCTTTGGAGGTCGTATCTCTGGTTAAATAGAATTGCCTGTCCAAATTGTGTGTAAAAGGTCTAAAAATAAAGATATATAATTATTTAAAGGAAACAAACATATGAAAAGAATTAAGATTTGTTAAAATTTGACGAGTTTACTTTAATGTAAATGTGACAGCACTAACAATTTGTATAATTGGATTTCTTTGGATAATCAATCTGGTTCAAATTAAAATCAATATTTCTGGTGACTGTAATTTATTTAATATCTTCACCTGTTGATGCTCTTAAAACAAACAACACTTGTAAACTACTCAGGCTACATGTTTATACAGAGTGGTATATTGAATTTCTTTATCTGTTGTCAAAATAGCAAGTTTTTGCATTTTTCAAAAGACAACTCGTGTTGTCAAACAATTCTTTTATTACTCAAGGGTGTCCTTTGATTATATTTACTGTATGCAAAGAAAGAAAATATCGAAACACTTATCATGTAACAAGAGCATTATGCCTAATTGATTTGAACTGTATTATGTCCCTCTGTACCATAGAAAATCTCAGATATTGAACGTGTATTATTTCTGGTGTTAATTTCTAAGTATGCTAATGCTTTCATAAAAGTAAGACTTACATTTACAAAAATATCAGATTGAGATTGAAATTCATTGATTCATTGACAGAAATTGTAAACTTAAATATTTTTAAGGAACGTTCTAGAAAGTATTAAAACACATTTTATACGCTACAATGTATTATTTAATCTTTCATTTAAAAAAAACAATAAAGATCTGTTTACATTTTTGATGGACAAAGAGCTAGTTAGTTTCAAAATTTTGCAATTTTAAGATTTTTGAAAATACTTTTTCACTTGATTATCTCCCTTTGTTCTGATCACACATCGTTGTCAATATAATGGAATTTTATGCAACTGTCATACAAGTGAGAGGTTTAGCTAGCTATAAAACCATAATTAATCCACCATTTTCTACATAAGAAAATGCCTGTACCAAGTCAGGAATATGACTGTTGTTGTCCATTAGTTTGATGTGTTTGAGCTTTTGATTTTGCCATTTGATAAGGGACTTTCCGTATTGCATTATCCTTGGAGTTCAGTATTTTTGTGATTTTACTTCTTGTACCAACGAAAATCAATAATAATGACATTATAGATTAAAATTGTTCTACTTTCTAGCTATTTTGATTAATTTGTTAAATTTTATACTGCTTTTGAAAATGAAACACTTACAGTACGAAAATGATGTACAAATTGCTATTTTAAAATCATTGATGCATTATGATAAAATGTAAATTAAGACAAGTTTCAAGTAGAATGCTTGAATGTAGTAAGATGAGACCCCACTAAGGGTATAAGCCAACTTTTCCAAATAAAAAATAAAAGAAGTTATCTTTATATGTCTCTAATGATCCAAACGCAGGATAGTTTTAAATATATGTACTTTTATGACTTTCTGGAGCACAAACTATGACTGGATTATCTCCCTTGCAATAATCCTAAAACTATATCTTGTAAAATTAACACCAAATACTGTTTCAATATATTCTTTCAAGTTAAAGAATGGTTTGTTATTTAAAATATCTAATCAAAATTTGTATAAAAAAGGACCTATTTGAATCTGATTGATTATATGATCAGTGATTGCTTATGACAATCTGAGTCTTCAAAGTTGACACTATTGTTTCAGTAAACCTATCACATATGCCGCCACTGCTGTCAGAACATCCAGCAAATGATGACTCAGGAAGATTTTTACCGAACGGAGGAAAATCGATGTCTATGCAATATCAAAAAGGAAATGTTGATACGAATGATCCTTTGCCTGATAGCACGGTTGTTGAAGAAAGTGAGGATTTCCTGTCAGATAAAAATGATCCAAACAGATTACTATAAGTTTTGTCTTAGAAAGAAGGGTAAGACGAAAGGACAAACAGATGTTGAATGTGCAAATAATGGAAATATGAATTTAACAAAGAACTCTTAAATTATATTTTAATTGGCGCTTCATATATTTTATGTTTTAGGTGGTGATTTAAGAATTTGTTTATTTTAAAATGACATTTTAGTCAAAGAGGGTGATTGTTTTTATTACATTTTTTTTTCATTTGTCTTTTTTCTGTTTTTGTTTTTTGAGTTAATTTATTTATCTAATCTGTATAAATCGATAGCTTGCATTTGTGTTGTTCATTCCATGATGTTCAAATTTAAAAAAACGAGTTTTACTCTTAGGATTTGCAGGTTCATTACTTGAATAATATAATGTCTAATCAGGATTATATAATTTTTATCAATGACAGTCAAATCAATTTGTTTTTATGTTTATATACTTTAGACATTTGGAATATAAGATTTTATCAACTTTTTTTTACTCTTGATACTTTATGTTTTAAGATATATGTTAACTTATTAAACATGTTAAACGTCTCAGAAGCTTTTTGTTACTTGTACGTAAAACTATACCTAGCCATGTTAAAATGCATTCTGCCTTTCAAAATCGGTTGGCATGACATCGTTTTTTCTTGATTACTTTTTACAATTTCTTCTCATGAGTTTACGGTTTGATAGCAAAACAACCAATATAGGTCAAAATAGTATATGCTCACTCTGCCTAAGAAGTAACAACCTTGAATTTGGTATAATTACTTTCTATATTTAATGAAAATATATTAATCCAATCATGCCAGTACCGTAGCAATGTCTTCTTTGGATATTTGATTAATAGTTCAAACTAAAATCAACTGTTATAATCTGATACAAATTGGGTACTAAATGATATAGTCAACCATACAATTTTATTTCGAATATGCCTTAACTTGGTCGAAAACACTACAACTGGTCTCTTTATATATATTAAGGCAGTCTGTGTGTTTGTCTATTCAATATAATGTTTATCCACCTTTTAAGTGTTTGACTGTTATGATCTCTGTTATTTTCCTTTTATAACGTTATTATAACCTTTTTCAAGTGTTGAAATCTCTTACTGTATAAACAATAGATATATAAAATTCAAACAATGTACATCAATGTGCTGTAATTTGAAAACATCAACAATCGTTAAGTCTAAAAGGACATGTTCTCACCTATCGTGGTTTGTTAAACTAGTGGGAAATGCATATCATATATTTTAGGAATGTTTTCAATACAGAATCCTAGATTTTGGTTACTGTTTGAGGTAAATCATTTTGTCATCGCCAGAGGTATTCTTTGATTCATATTCAATTTGACTATTATTTAAAACACTTCTCTGAAAAATACAAAGGTAAGCAGGCTATATGATAAGACAATTCACTAGAATTATGATTGTTTTCATATAGGTAGCAAAAATATCAGCAGTATTTGTTGAGATTACGAGTTCATCATCTAATAATATCTTTGGTCATTCTGCTTCAAACATAATTATGGAAATACAATGAATTAACATTTTATACCGACGTTCATGACGAAGGTAAATCAAGAAATGCACTTTCAATACATGAAATTTAAAAATTGTTTTTTTTCAGATAGAGGGACACTGAAGAAAACTCTTTCTTCGAACCGGTCAAAAGGCAAAAAGTGGTTATTTGTCAAATACAAGAATATAATGTGTTAAACAATTAGTCGTTGATAAAGACATTTACAAGTTCTGCTTCATTCTTTCTGTAATAAATACGTATGGTACATAGGTCAAAGCTACGCTTTAGCACATATATGTCTCTCATAGGTTATATTTAGGTAAAATAACTGGACGTTTAGTAAGATTTGGAATTGGAAATCAAGATCTACACATGAAACATGGTATCTGTTGAAAAGAAGATGTAATGTTATAACTGTCATCAACTTGACACGTGGTGATCATCAAAGTTACCAATCTAATAATCTTAGTAAACAAGACGAGATCAGTGGTGCTAGAAACAAAACATACGGAAAGACAAATCCCCACCTTAAAACCCTTACTGTTGTGCCAAATTTGGATAAGCCCATATGTACCTGGAAACATACTAAACTACATAGAAAGTAAAAAAAATGTCAATTGGACTTGCTCGACCATCACGTAATTATTTTGTGGAAATAACAAAGGTTAAATTGTTTCCATGAACCCGATTTGTTATGAGGTATTTTGTTGCTCAAACATAAGTTTCCTGTTTCGTTATTTTCTTTTCTCCTTGGTATCTTTTTCTTTTTCAGAAATTATATAACATATTTAACTATATTAAGATCAGGAGATGTGTTATGATTACCAATAAGACAACTTTGCCCCAAATTTCAAATAAAGGGATGCGATCTATCATTGGCAACCGTACGGTCTTCAACAATGAGAAAACCCGATACCGGATAGTCGGCTATGAAAGGCCTCGACATGCAAAATGTGAAACAATTCGATTGAGGAAACAAATGGCCTAATTTATAACAAAATAATTTACGAAAAACAAATATGTCGGACATTAATCAACGACAACCACTGAACTACAAGCTACTGACTTTGGACAGACGCATAAAGCATGTAGCGGGGTTAGACATGTTTGTAAAGGTTCAATTCTCTCCCTTACCTGGGACAATGGTGTTACAGCACAACTTAAGAACAAACTGATTATAATTGGCTTACCTCAAAAGACTGTTAAGAGGAACGAAAACAACTAACATAAAAACAATAGACACAAAGCACCGAAATACTAGTACTATATATATATATATAGCTAGCAGTTACTTAAAGTTAGTTCAAATCCAATGACATTAAATTATCTTCTCCAAAACTAAGGTTTCAGTCATAACACATCTAACGGATTTGTTATAAGACCTCATGAAAAATAATGGATGCTCAGTGTGAATTTACATTGTTTGCAAGCAAAAGCAATGTGAACGGCAAACTAATGCTATATTAACCGACATGTGTTGAATGTTTGTTCTAAAACAATAAAAAATGAAATGTTTTGATTTCTACAAATAAAAACAGGTTGTAAACAGTTAATCCGAACTTTTCTGATTGGGTTCCATTAATATATCCCCCAGAACTAGAAATTAAAGAAACAAAAGACACGGCTTCCTCCGCCTCATTTTTAGACTTATATCTCGAATTTGACATACACAGTCATCTCAGTACCAGAATCTATGACAAACGAGACGATTTTAATTTTAAAATTATAAATTTCCCCCACCTTAGTAGCAATATACCAACTTCACCTGCATATGGGATAAACATTTCCCAACTTATTCGATATTCAAGAGCTTGCAGCTCCTACTCAGACTTTGTAAAACGTCACCAGTGTCTGAGCAGAAAGTTGATGAGCCAGGGGTATGTCAAAGAACGCCTCGTCCTTTTTCTAAAAAAGTTCATCGGAAGGTACCAAGACCTTGTTGATAAATATTCCGTATCAACTTCACAAATAATACATGATGGTCTTGAAATATAGATTCTGCATTCTGACGTTGTTTATCATCTTAATAATGTGTAATATTGTTCTTTCATTTGTCTTTGTTCTATTATTAATATTACTTTTACTGTTTGGTTTGTTTTCTGTGATATCCATTTGTCGTGGCTAGGTACTTATACATCCCGTCAATGTGTTTGTATTATCTTTCATTTTTGCTGGTGTGTTTTGTATATGCGACATTTTGTGTTTCTGTGGTTCTTATAACGTGACTCTGTACTTTAAAAGATCCCGGCATTATGTTATTGTTCTATTATATGTCATTATGTTATTGTTCTATTATAAATTTGAAAATACTTTGAACGACAAACGACAAATTTATTTTACTCGCGTAGTGGTATTAACCATATGTGGATTCTTAAAAATTCTAAAAAACTTCTGGACAATTTTAAATCTCGGTCTATTTCTGAAATTAATTCTAACATAACTTTTGATTTTTTAACCCTGTATACCAACATTCCCCATGTGAAATTATAAAATTGTTTTGAATAAACATTGAATGACAAACTTTTTTCTAATGTGACGTTTACATTTTCTGACGTCAGACACGCGAAACAATGAATGTGGTTTTTAATTTGTTAGATCTTTTGTGCTTTTTTGTAAATAATTGTTTGTTTTGATATTGTAGCACAGTGATGACTGCTGTACCCATATTTTGACTATTTTATTTATAATGTCTGTTTTGTTCACGCATCGTTGTAAATATAACGGAATTCGATAAGACTGTCGTACAAGTGAGAGGTTTAGCGCTATAAAACCAGGTTCAATCCACCATTTTCTACATTTGAAAATGCCTGTACCAAGTCAGGAATATGACAGTTGTTGTCCATTCGTTTGATTTCTTTTGTCATTTGATTTTGCCATGTGATTAGGGACTTTCCGATTGAATTTTCCTCGGAGTTCAGTATTTTTGTGATTTTACCTTTTTTATATTGACTGTTATTGTTGCTATTTATCTATTGCAATTCATTAAAAATTCTGACCCAATTGCAATTTGTTTAAATCAAACCAAAATGTTCAGCTGGTCTGAAATTGTAACCAACTGCTGTAGAAAACCAGTCAAGTCATCATAATGAAAGGTCATTTGTATAGCAATTCAAAAATTACTACACTTTACTCTTTACAATAACAACATGTATAGACATTTGTAGCAACGTTTTCATAATAGCAATGAAGTGGAATTACAGTCTTATATTGCGTTTTGGTGACATGACTGTGGTTTTCTACAGAAGTTGGTTAAAATTGAATTGTTTGGTATGATAAAAGAAATTGCAATTTGGTAAGAATTTTGAATAAACTGCAATAGGTGGAGAGCAACATTTACACATGTTACAGTCAGGTCACAGTAAAATAGAGCGGAAGTAATGTTGATAATCTATAAATAGAAAGAATATTTCTCAATGATAATATTTCCCAATGATTATTTATAGCTAAATGATGTATTTTCAAATGTTAGATATGTTAGTAGTTATGTTTGTAACCATTTTTGTAGTTTACTGTCATATATTTGAAAACAAAAAGATTTCATAGCATGTCACTTGTTGGATTTCCACATATACATGCAGGTTTATTAACATTCATTTCATATGATGAAAAAAAAAATATAAATAGACTGAAAAGCTGGAAAACCTGAAAATATTAATATCTAATATCATGTTTTATCAGTC